ATATTTAATTTTAATTTTTGCGACTGATTTAGTCGCAAACCATAAAAAATATTTTTGCGGTATTTTTCGCGTAATTGAGCGACCGAATCAGTCGCAATTTTGAGCCAATTTTTTTTAAAAAAATTAAAATATATTTTTAATAAAGTTTCCGACCGAATCAGTCGAAAATTGCGACCGATTTAATTCAGTCGCAAATTTACTGTTTTTTAGTAGTGAGATACTCGTGAAAACTTTTATGTAGTATTTGGATTATATCGGAAAACATATGCAATTTGTAATATTGTTAACGTTTACTATTTCTAAAAATCGACCTATCTCACCCAAAATACATAAACTTATTTCCAAAGGAAAAGAATATGCTAACATTGAGTTTCTTCTCGGAATAAAGCACTCGGTGAGAAGGTATTGTACAGACTAGAAGGGGGAAACAAGATCCATTCTTGCTTGTTCGTTGATTGTTTAAGAACAATTAATGTTTATTATAAAGAATAACACCATTAAATTATGCAGGATTTAATATATTATTTTATGCAGGATAAAGTATGAAGTACTAATTCATGGATATCGATATAAGTTATGGACGTATTAAGTTTTATCGAAAAATAAATATTTAATTATATTATTATATGCAGAATTTTTGTGTAAATGATCTGTTTTTGTATGTGAAACCAAACGAGACAAAATTTAAATAAACTCAAAAGAAAGGGAAAAAGTAGTAAGAAATTAATCTTGGGTCACGTGAGCTGCATGCGGGGTGAGATTTTAGAAAAATAAAGGCAAAGTGCGTGGGAGTGGGAAAGATAGAGAAAAAGAAAAGAAAAGAAAAGAGGAGAGACTGGTCCTATCAGCTATCAGGTGGGGTACTTGTACCCTTCTTCTGGTTCGTTTCAAAGATTCCTACTCTCTTTTGGTCTCTCCTATCTCCTTTTTTCTCTCTTCTTCCCAACCAAATTACTACTACTATTACCATACTACTTCTTCTTCTCTTTTTTTTATATTTATTTATCCCTAAAACCTACCACCATAAAACTCATTCACCAAATCAAATTTGTTTTTTTGTTTTTGTTTTTGAGTAGGCATAGAACCATATTAATTATTTGTTTGTTTGGGGATTTTTATTGAATTAAACAAGAATGACAGGTCCAAATATGGCTACCATCACAGCTTCGCTAGAGAGATCTCTACAAAATTGTTCATTGAACAACAACTTGAGTGGGGTCATCCCTGCCGATGGATTTTCTGATTCATCGGAAAATCATGTTTTGAATAACAACCCTTCTGATGATGCTACCTTAGACCTCAATTCTGAGATTTCTTTGCCTTACCACTGGGAACAATGTTTGGATTTGAAGGTACCTACTATTTACATTCCGCCCACCCAACAAATTTTGTTGTGTTTTTATTTTTGCATATCACAATCATTTGTTTTTCTGTCTTTTTCTTGACATTTATTGCTCTCCTAACCTTAAAGACCAGATCTTGGATTTCATTATACTCATTATTAGCACACCACTTCACTTTAACTTGTTATATTCATTCATGTTCTTTCTTGTGTTTGGTCAGTTTGTCATTTTGGGTCTGCTTCATTTATTTCCCTTCTATTTTAGCTATCTCCTTCACAGACAAACAGTCAACAAAAAGAATGATGTTATTAATTACAATCCCCTCATTTTTAAAAGGTGATTTTTTCCATTTCCTTCTCAAGTCCTTATAAAAGCAAAAGGTGAACTTTTCTTGCTTCTCATTGTCTTTTCCAGTCTAGTGTTTGGTATCTGCATTGAGCTTCGGGTAATTTGGATTCCTGATGTGTAAGGTCCGTTGGGAAAGCATTTTCTACCAATATTTTTCCATTCTCAAAACTGGAAGTCTAGACTTTTAATTAAGGATGAAAAGATGTTATCTATTCATCTTTTCCAATGTTACTACTACTGTTTTATGGTGTCCTTTATTCATTATTTTGTTCTGCGTCATACTTGAAAAATATATGTTATTTTCTTTAACCATGTAAAGCGAAATTTGACAGATTGGTGCAGTTTACTTTTCTTCTGCATTTTTTCATTAACTTCTGAATTATGGGTGGATTTCTTGAATATGTGGGTTGTGGTACAGACAGGGGAAATTTATTATATAAACTGGAGGGCAGGGATGAAAGTGAAAGAAGATCCAAGAATAAATGGTGATGAAGTGTACGGTGGTGATTTATACTCAGAAGAAGAAGAAGAAGAAGAAAGCTTGTATGATAGTGATGAAGGATCTTCCACAGAAGAGTCATCATTTTTATCTTCAAGAGAACCCCAAATTAGCCATAATATTGGCAACAACAGTGGCAAAAGTGGAGCAGCAGTATTAGTGGTGGGTGGTTGCAAAAGCTGTTTGATGTATTTCATGGTGCCTAAAGAAGTTGATGATTGTCCCAAATGTTGTGGTCAACTTCTCCACTTTGATCGATCCGAAAATGGCTCCCCTTAAAAAAACGAAAAAGAAAAAACCAAGAACATGAAATATTGATTTGTTTTGTCTTTTCCACTTTTTTTTTTCTTAATAGAAGTTTGTTTTGGTCGTATAATATAAAACTACTATGTAGTAGTTACTTGTTGATGTGTTTTTTCCTAAGGAAAGACAAAACAACCCATCATTTTTTAAAAAGTATTTATCGTGTAATCCATTTTCTTTTCTATGTGCTACTACTCCTTGTTATGGTTTTTGTGATCTATGGAAAATGCAGGGATGATCTTTCATAAAGTGCCAGCTTCGAGGTCAACTATATACAGGAAAGATTGATAATGGTAAATGATTGCGACGTGTTTGCTTCTTTTTAGTTTAATAAATTTTGTTCTTTTTCGGGCAATATATTTGGATCCACTTTTTGTAGACATGCTTTAATGCTAGCTTCCTTTAAAGTTTTTGAATTATTTTTCCTAAGCATTTAATTAAATTTGTTTGTGTTTCATTTCTTAATTCTGGAAAACCAAAAACAGAATTAAAAAGAAGAAAAAGTAGTCATGCCTCAATGTTCGAAATACCTAGTCGTGCCCTCAACCTATTTGATCTTCAATAACCAGCTATTTGATGTTATTTTAGTAGTAATATTTTGTTTTCATGATTAAATAAGGTTCCATTATTTTGTGCCAAAGTCAAATAGTTTTGGACATTATATATAATGGTCAGCAAAGCAACATCATGTTTCATCATTTTACGTCTGACTTAAATGCTTCTTGTTATTTAGAAGAAAAAAAAGTATAGACATGAATGATGTTTGTTAGTGGATGCCTAAAAGATAGACTAGGAAGAAGATGTGTCACTCTTAGTATAAAAAGATTTCATAACAATGTTCTTCCTCTTCTATTTTTATTTAAGACATAGTAACTTGGCCTCTCATAGGCTCATTGGGTTTTTGTTTTGTTCTTTTCTATTGGTTGATATGACTTTGAGAAAAAGCAAAGAAAGATTCCAACTGGTTGAAATATATATGTCTATGGGTAGGAGCCTTGATGTGAAGGTTGATTAAATTCTGGGTGCTTGGTAAAGGAATTTAGCAAATGTTAAAAGCGCTTTAATCAAACAATAATGAGTAAATAAGAATGATATTAAAGTTGTCATCAAATAGGTTCAACACTTTATGTAGGATTATCCCATCGACGATTCTGTTGTTCTTAATTCCTCCTGCGAATTAAAATCAAGTTTTTAGTTTTGTCTCGTTGTAACATTCTTGTCTATGATTAAATGGGGATCTAGTTCTCTTCTCTGAAGCTTAACTACCTTTTAATCGAATACTTTCGAATCTGTCCCTAGTGTCTTTGTCTTTTCTTTTGTTCTTCCGTTTTTTGGTTCAGAGTTGTTGAATAATCCATAGAAAGAGGACGTGTTTTCAGAAACCTTTACTGTTTGTGTACCTCTCAGAACATATAAAGAATAAAATCACGAGAAAGCAAAAGGGTGTAATGCTATCTAATTACCCCATTCCGAAGAAAGGAAGGAAATGACAGAATTGTGGTACTCATAGATAAAATCTCTTCATCCTTAATCAGATGCATCGAGTAGGAGAGCTTGAAAAATTTAGAAAATCCCTAGCAGGAAACGCATCTCTTTTAATCAACTATATGTGGCTGTGGCGTTAATCTGAACTAGTGGATAAAAGAAAAAAGTAAGGAAAGAATGGTCCATATGGTGGGAAAAAGAAGAAGAGGGGAGAAAATGAGAGATGTGCAAAATGGTTTACTCCGTAAGCTATAGCAGGGAGTTGGAGTGGGTATAGTAGTGTAGATAGAGAAAGGGAGAGAGAGAGAGCAAAGGAAAGGAACCTTTAGCTTTACTATAGGGGTATCAAGGGTTGCATGTTGCATGGCAGAATTATTTTAGCAGAAAGGAATCTAGACAGAAAGGCGTAAGAGTTGTGGCAGAGAAACGATGGAGAAATATCAGGGCCAATATGGCAGATGTTGATAGAGTGAGACAACATGTACTCCTACACATTGATATAGAGAGGTCCCTCTCTTCGTTTTCCCCGTCTCTCTCTTTCTCTCTCACACTCACACTACTACTACTCAGAATTATTTTTCTACTGAAGTATTTTAAATTGAAAGTCCGTTTAATTTGAGGCTGAAGTAACCATTAACCACCAAGAACTGTGGCCAGATAGATAGGATTCCTGAACCTTTAATCAGAGGTCTCGAATTCTAAAACTGGATGAAAAAAATTTCGATTAGGAACGTTTCTCTCTTTAATAGACCTTGTGTGCTGCGAATCTAAATTAGTTGAGCCCCAATATAGATATCGAACAACAACATACCATGTGTGATCCCACAAGTTAGTTCTGGAAAAAAAAACGGTGCCAATACCTCGAAAAATAACGGGAAGAGCACAAATTGGTCACGTTGCGTCAAAGCAATATTGTGGCATTGGAGATATCAACTTGTTACATTGTTACATAAGAATCAAAATAAGAGAGAAGCCTAGTATTGCGGATGTCCTCCAATCTTAGAGTCGAATGATCTAGTCACATTAAGATATGTGTAGGGACTCGTTGTTGAACTTTGTTAATAAAATGGACGTCAGAAGGTGAGGACAGACCAAATTATATTAAAATACATTAACTTACTCTCTCCACTATTATGAGACACTTAACAATCCTCGCAAGGCTAGAACTGAACATTTTGGATGTGAAAAATAATAAAATATAACATAGGGGGCCAAACTATAGTAAACCAAGAATATATAGGGTGACTCTAACTTTATACTATATAATGAAAATAAATCTTGAATTTATCTCCATCCAAAAACTAATTCAAAAAAGAAAAATTGCTCAAGGGTATATAGAAATTAAAAATAGTAATACATTCTCTCTTAAACAAGTTCATGACACGCTTAACGATATATTTTTGTACAAAGCAGAGACAGATAGGATTGATAGAGCATTTGCCTCTTTTTTGACCTCACTCTTTTATTACTTTATATTTTCTCCATTCACATTCCTCTCATAGGGAATCTCCTCTGTGCTTGTTTGTTCCATTATCAACGAAGCATGTTCTTGTTTCTGTCTTCTTTTCGAATCTTCTGTTGTTTCCTTGAAACTCTATACTGTTTATTAATATCAACTACTGTTTTTTGTCAGCATTTAAGTGTTCTATTCTACCTTCTAATCTAGATAAACTTCCTTTTAAATATAAAAATTTTGTCGGCAATTGTTGTGATTAAACATATTTGACCACTTCTGTCTTATTTGTGGGGTAAAGCAAGGTAAAACTTATTGTAGATTTTTTTTTGATGACTGTAGATCTTGTATAGTACTGTACCATGGGAACACTAGACACCATTTTATTTGCAACCTAGTGATTGTAAATAAGAAGTTTAAGCTTCAAATTTCATCTTAAATCTTCGTTTCTTTTTTCTTTAATTTCTTCCTCCCTCCAGTCATATATTGACCCAAAAAAATAATAACAAAAGGTCACGCATTTTAAAAGCTTGTTGGTAATAGTTATGTACTTGATGAAAAGCTTTAAAAAGTTTAAAACCTATCGTTGTATTTCAATTAGATAAATCAGTAGAAAAAGGAAATTATGCATCAAAAGAAATTGACGTGATAATTAATTAATGACCGTCAAAGGATATCTCATCTAAAGTCCAGATTAAGTTCCCTAGCTTTTCCCCCTTTATAATTGATCACAACTGAAAAAGCATCACATATATATAAATTTTCTGATGAGATCAACTTTCAACATTTTGTTCACATCTCCCATTCATGTTTGAGTCACTTTATCGCAAGGCAAATCTAGTTAAAGAACGTCCAAACAAATGGCAACTTTTACTGCAGAGTGAAAGAGGTAAATGCCCATGCGTAGCCTACGCCGCAACATTCGCTGCATTAGAGTACGTACTATGAAATCCTCGAAGAGAAAATCAAGGTTTAGGTTGTTTTAAATATTTGAATGTAAGTTATATAGCTTGATAACGTAATTATTTTTTTTACAATATTAATATAATTTAACTTGTGATAGAGGGCTGATAATAAACTTCCACAATTGAAGTGGAAAATTCAAACACCTGCCTCCGCCTTTCCTCCAGCTTCCACACCCTTGATGTAACTAAAATAAAACTTGTGATAACAAAAGTTTTACTATAAACTTTACAAAGTTACTGGTTAATGTATATAATGATCATTTACTTGTAATTATCTTATATTTGACTTAATTGTGTAAATATTTTTTGTATTTTTCTAGACATAGAACTTAAACTTCTAGTAATATGTTACATTGTAAATTTTTTATCGGTGTTCAGTATTTATTTTTAGGGTCATTGCGTGATTTGTACAGAAAGACCAAAATATGTCAGGAATAGGACAACACAGGGGGTGGTCTTTAGCTTTTAGCCTTTAGGATAAGTCACATAACCAATGAGCAAATCTTTAAGGTCAAAAATCAATGCTTTGCCCATGGAAAAAACTTATTAAACTTAAAGTTTTGTCATTGTGTGACCTCTCCCAAAGGTCAAAAGTTCAAGACCAACTTCTTTCAAGGTCATTTGTGAACTTAATCCTTTTATTTTTATTATTTAAGTTTTGACACTGTTTAAATAAGTTTATCAAAAATAATACTTTGGTGGGGGGGGGGGGGGGGTTTCATAAATTAGAGTTTGCGGGTTAGAACTTGACCGTAAGTCGTGGCGGATCGCTTCAAGTTAAGATGGATGTTTGAAGACTTTCCTTGCAAAAAGTCCTAACAGATTGTTGGAACTTTAGTACAAAATTGCGAGGTAACTTTGGAATAAATTATTCACAAGTTAGTGAATCGCCAGAAGTTCTGATGGATGAGGCAAGACTTGCCTTATCACGAGTCTTGACAGATCCTCAGAACTTACAATTGTGTTGTAACTTTAGAAAAGATTATTCAGGAGTCCTAGCGGATCACCAAAAGTTCTAACACAAGGGCAAGCCTTTCCTTGCCACGAGTTCTGGTGGATCGTCAGAACTCCAGTACAAATTATTCAGGGAATCAGATCATGAGGACTTGCTCGGAAATTTTACCAACGTGCACATTTTTGCTTCAAAATTTGTCTATATTAGCTCCAAATGAAAATTTAAAAATTCAACCTTCTAAAAGCTATCCCAACAACTCCCAATGGTTTGGTCCAACCCAAACCTTCAAAAATCAACAAAATCATTTGTC